TATATATTGCATGCATGACAATTGGAATTATCTCCTAATGTATAATACATATGAATAATGTTGTAATGCACTTATTCAGATCTTGAAAACTTACCATAATTGTATCTTGACGTACGATTGGCACGAGGACTCAGTTTTCATGCGAGTATGTCAGAACACGATAAACTGTATCGCGTGTCGTCTGCCAATTTCTTGTAGAATCGCGGTTGATTCCAGGAATTCCGCGCTACAAACTTCTCGATAAATAAAACTATTAAAACTTTCATCGCTGTTAGTTTTATCTTTTCGAAAATCTCTCGTCTCAGCTTCATCTTTCTACACTTTTTTTCTTTCATTCTTTCATTGCAATTGTCCATCAACGCCAAATCACATTTCATTCCTTTTAATTCTAATCCGAAAATTTTCAGTCATTTTTTTTTCTCTCTCCATTTCACAGAACAAAATTTCAAGTTTACCAATTTCGTATTAACATCCCTTGTACTATTGTATTTTATAGATTTCCTTCCCCGTCTTGTTATCTTTATCAGACGAAAAGATTTCAATTCCGCTCCTACCATTTTTCATTCTTTCGCCTTTGTTCGCCCATTATACACACGGATACCTATAATCACAGATCGTAGCACCCAGATTCAAAGCGAATCGCAGGTCAGTTACCATTTCAATCGTTCTGTCATCGGCCCGGTTAGCAGCTTAGCGTAACTCAAATCATCGTGATACGATTCATATGGTACGATCGTTCGCACCGTATGATCACTGACGATCACATCAGCAGTGTCATTCCCTTCCTTCTCTCGCGGTGTACATCAGGGTAATCTGCTGTACCGTTCGGCAATATAACTTGACACATATTGCCGCCGACAATTTGGATCATAGCGCTTACCGCACGCATATATTGCCGCCACGTCGCACGGTGCTCATTTTTCACGGACTGTCGATCCTGCTGGCAACTGAAGCGTGCCCGGCGTGGTACCCTGTCCAGCCCCCCACAGGTCGTCGCCGGGGAATCAAGAGCGCATCAGTTAGCTCGCGGTCGCGGTTGCTCGCTGTTGTAGTCCGTTACAAACCTGGAAACCATCATTTCGTCATTTGTATTCGAACGTGAGTGTTGTCATTCCACGTCGTTCAAGATTCAAGTCGAAAATAAATTAGGTACAGGACAGCTGGCACAGAAGTTGAAGAAGGAATCTCTGAAAGCTTCGTTGAACGATTACGTTGGACTGGACGAGAGTCGTAAGTTGTTTCAAAGTGGCGAGTTATTGCGATGGTTTCTTTTTTTTTTTTTCGATTTAGTGACGATGCAATGCTGTTCGAAGGTCGAAGGA